AGCTTTATAAAATTTTTGGTATTCGAGTAATTATAAGATCACCGTTATCTATTTTATGTTTAAATAAATCTCGCCAGAAATTCATTTCCAACGAGACCATTAAACTGGGGAACGCAACTGAACTTTAGTAACGAGGTATTTAAACAATACAGCGACGAGTGCCTAGCTGCCGTTACCGACTGTGAAGTCATTAATGAAATAGCTTCATAAAATCAACGAGGCAATATTGTGCAAATGATGCTGTTGGAAAACGAGCTGAGAATATTTTTTTTCTAGATTCATTTAATTAGTAAACATTGCAGCTAGTTACGAAATTGAGCTGAAAGCACAACCGTTCATATGCGTCATTTTAAAGTTAGCCTGTCTCATGAATTCACATTTTTTTTTCATATCATCACACATCTGTCAATGAAAAGATATTTGCAGCATTATTTCAGAACAGACGTTAAGTTCCATGCGCGGTAGAGCCACGCTGCAGCTACGTCATGGTTGTAGCACGGAAGGATCGACTCCATCGGGAAAGGAACATGCTCTCATAGAAAACTAGAGTAAAATAGCAACATATCTTTTGTTGTATTTCGTATGGTGAGAGATACGGAGACCTTTTTTTACTGGAAACCGAGGCATTCCATCTTCATCCTCAGCGGTGACAATGATGCCTGTGGGCCACAGCATCCACTTACCATCAGGTGAACTGTGTGCTCGTTTGTTACATTTATTCTATAAAAAAGCAAATCAAAACCAAATCAAAATAGCAATGCATCAAAGTAATATTTTAACGAGTAAAGGCACGCTGCAGTTAAATTATGACAACAGCAAATAATTGTATAGTTCGAGCGGGCAAGAATGCCGTATTTCGGCTTGTTTTACCTTGTCCTTAAAAGTGACAACGCATTTGCATTTTTATTCATAGTCGAGGATAGATTTCGGTATCTACTGGTCACTGTTTTCGGTAACTATCAGGTGAACCCCTTTGTCATAACTCCTCAGTTTCAAGGCACTCCCCTTGTTGCCTCAGCCAGTATCAGAATCCTCGGCGTCGACATATCGAGTGACGTGCAGTTTCCTGGTTACTTGGAAGAGAATGCCAAATTGGCCTCAAAAAAGCTTGGCGTGCAGAGCGGGACAGTATTTCATGCCGGCACACCGCCTGCAACTTTACAAGGCGCACATGGAATACTGTTCCCATCTCTGGGCTGGGGCTCCCCAGTACCAGCTCCTTCCACTTGACCGCATCCAGCGCAGAGCGGCTCGAATCGTCGACGACCGAGTGCTTGCCCATCGGCTCGATTCACTGGCGCTGCGAAGAGATGTTGCATCTCTTTCTTTTCTTTCGCATATACCATGGGGAAAGGAATTGTTCGGATTAATCCTAGCCGCCAAATTTCGTGAACGCACTACGCGGCAAACGTCCCAATACCATCCACACCATCTGGATGCTTGGCGGTCCACCACTGTACACGTTTCAAAAGGAGTTTTCTTCCGCGTACAACCTCGCTGTGGAATAGTTTACCACCGGCGATCTTTCCGGACCGATACGACCTGGGGACCTTCAAGAAAAGAGCTTACTCCTTTCTAAAAGGTCGGCAACGCACTTACAATTCCCCTGGTGTTGCGGTTGATCATGGGCGGCGGTACTCACTTAACATCAGGTGAGCCGCATGCTCGTTTGCCCCCTCTTCTATAAAAAAAAGAAATGTATACCCTTAGTCATAGGAAATAATAGTTGATATTATATTCCGGACTCTGCAAAAAATTATCTTACTCTCAAGTTGGACAACTGCATACGGTGTGCAAATTTGATTAAAATCGGTTAAGTAGTTTAGGAGTCCATCGCGGACAAGCAACGTGACACGTAATTTATATATATTAAGATGCTGTACATAAAACGCTGAGAACACCTCGAGTGGTGATAATAAAGCTCTTTGTTATCCACTCCGAATATAATTTTAGAGTAATTGAGGCTTTCTGTAATATGAATGTTTCGAATGCTAACAACGTAAAGAAATCTCGTCGCCATTCTTACCCTTTTCTTTATAACACTACGGCAATATCAGCGGGTTTTGTGAAAGGATGTTTTTGCTAAAATCCCTTTTATTCCACGAGAATTATTCCGTTTTTGTGACAAGATTTTGAGATCAATGAGCTTTATTTTAAAAGAAATTTGACCAGACACAGCTGACGTCTTTTATTAAATTTACGCAATTTAGTGATAAAAATACAAAAAAATCACGCAGGTGTCGTAAGAGCCCACAGAGGGAAACAAATTAGGAGATGGGCAACAAGCGGCTTCCTAATATCGACTAAACAAAAAATTGCGGTTGCCAACTTGTTTGACAAGCGTGGCAACTATGGAACATACCCCCCCACATGACGCAATCTATGGGGAGGCCTATGTTCAGCAGTGAACTTTAATAGGCTGTAACAGTAATACAAAAAATAAAATTTTGTGTGTGACTTTTGCACAGTAAATCCCCATTTAAAAGCACAATACTATTCACCTGCTTAACATTAGGTGTGGTATTATTTCGTTTTATTACCGTTTAAAAGCAAATTTTTGACGTTAAACCACTGTAGGTACTACTTTCAATATAGCATTTACTTCGTCATATTTTAACAATTGGCTTTTAAGCCGGAAGATCAACTTAGTAACATCAGCAAATAAAAATATATATCATGGTTAATCCCTACCAAGTAAGATAAGTCGTTATTATAAACTAAAGGCAGGAAGGGGCCAAAAATTGAGCTCTGAGGAACGCCTATAGATACTATTGATCCGGGAGAACTGTTACCTACTTCTATCATAACAACTGTTTTTAGATTTTTTCAGAAAGTTAATTTATTCTATAGCATTCTAATTATTATACCAATTTACGAATTGAAACCTAAAGAGTCACTAAGAAATAAAAATTTCTTGTCGGAAAAACGCAATAAACTGATTTTTATTTGCTTGAACCGAGATCTCATGATCAGGAGTCGCAATATACATAAGTATTTTAAAGAAATATAAGTATTTAAAAAAATTATGTAATAAGACCTAAAACAACAAAAATATTTAAAAGTAATTTAAACATTCATTTTGTAAATTAGAGGAACAGACACTAGTTACTGGTACCAGTTACCCGACTCCACAGTGTCAGTACTTCATACTTGGGGCACAAAAAAATCCAGAAAATTCATAATATTCCAGAAATGTATTAAATAAAGGATTGTATATTATAAAAAGGGTTTTTATAATATGAAGACATTTAGGAATGATAATAATCCATGGGGATAAGGTGATCGGTACCAAACTTTAACTATTTACTATTAACTATTAAGTATTTTTTATAATCAATATCGAATTGGTTTATAAACAAATAATGATTTTATTTTAAATAATTTTGTTTAAGAAATAAAACTTAGCCAGAATAACGAATTTATTTTGTATCGTGGAGGCGTTTTATATGAATAAATTGAACATGGATCCTAGAAGATAGAGCCACAAATACCAACGACTAGGGACAAATGTATCCGCCCTACATATATTTGTCCCTCAGCCCGCAGCACATCACCCAATTATTATTCTGAATATTTTATTTCATTCCATTTGAAGAAAAAAAATGGTTTACGGTAAATACTTTCACCAAAAGTACCAAATATATGTCTATGGTCCACAGCATCCATTTACCATCAGGTGGACGGTGCTTGTTTGTTACCTTATTTGTGGATGAAAGATGAAAGTGAAATACAGATTACTTAATGTACAAACTTAAAATTCATTGAATTACGACTTATATATGACTTTCGACCATTAGGGTCCACTACACTAGTATAAATAAATACATGTCCTCTCTGATCAGACTCGCTCGAAATGAACGCGTAATTAGCTGTTGGTGGTTTGTACTTTGTAAATAGAATTTGCAAAAGCAAACGTTCCATTCAATTGCCGCAAACAATTCGTGTGCGGTTATCACACAGTTGTATTTACGAACAGCTGTATTTGCGTAGGCAACATCATCACACCTAGCAGATGTTAGTGAAGTTGTGTCATTTCACCATCTATCTTAATCTTTCGTTTTATTTTTTATTATACCTATTTATTTATCTATATACACACATACTTCGATAGGAAAATGTAAAGACATAATTATGTGCAAAGGCACTGCTTATTCCATGATGAAAATTCTTCCAGGAGGCCTATTGAAGGATAGTTGAAGGAAATAGACGTAGTCACAGTGTGCACTTTATGAAAATATACATATACAATACAAATTAATAACTATATATATATATATATATATATATATATATATATATATATATATATATATATATATCCTCGGCTAAAAGTTCTAAGTTGCTAACTCCATTTTAGGCTAAATTGACTTTTTGGTATCAAACGAAAGAGAAAAAAAATAGCGCATAATCGTCAAATATGCTTAATACGCAAACTAAACCCAGGTTATAGATTTCGCGCGTCAATCTTTTATGCTAACTCCACGCCTGTCAAATCACGCGGGAAATCATGTTAACTCCCGCCATTCGACGCCATCTTCTAGCAGTGTGAGCAGTACTATCAGTGTTTCCGAGAGTTTAATTCTAAAAAATAAGGTTTTTTGAAGATTTACACATGACTGTATTTTTTTTGTAAAATGTAAGTATTATTCTATAATTTATTTATAGTTCTGATACACATATCTAAGCAAAATTTATACGAAAGTACAAATGAAATGTAAACTTGTATGATAAGGGAGTTAGCATAATTCATTTCTTACTATTTCATATATTGTTTAGGAGTTGTATATTTTTATTTTTTACATAAGAGTTTTGTAACTTTGTTTTAGTATTTTAACGCTTTATTTTAAAATTAGTTTTTGGTTTTGTAATGATGTTCGACGGCACAATAGTAACGATAAAGATATTTAAACAATAGGTTTTGGGTTCAATTTTCGCATGGATCAATTATTTATGTGCTATGCTTGATGTGGTGGCTTATTTTGCTTTTGTTTTATCCACAGATGGCTTCAGATAGGGCTAGGAAGCTTATCAGTTTAGCTCTTAATACAGAACAACATGGCGATTCTCTTACTACGCGTCAAGAAATATTGCTTAATAAGGGAAATACCATTATTAACAATAATTTTGATCCTGATCAGAATAGTAGATACACGAATACATTAAACAATGTTATCAATATGATGGACAATCCTACTGAATTTAGTTTAAATGTACCGTTGGAAGATTACATTGAACATTACTCGCTAGTAGAAAATGCACAGATTGAAATAGTTGATGTTCCTGATTTTTTTACTACATTTGACGTACCTAGTGAAAATGCAAACATAATTAGCAATACACATTCTTTAAAAATTTGTGATACTGTTAGGGTTTACGATCCATCGCAGCGAGAAAATTTTAATGATACTTATATAGAAAACTGCGATTTAATATCCAATTTTAGTAATAATTTTGGCGATCCTAAATTAGTTCCATACTCATCAAGTTCAGAAAACGATAGCGATACTTCCTTGCCTGAGAAGAGTAAATTCAGAAAAAGACGAACTCAAGTAAATAATAATACCTGGTTTGCAGAAAAAAATAAAAAATTGCGCGAAAAAGGCTCAATATAATGGCAAAATTATATATAAAAAAAATCTAAATGGGTCTATGAAAGTTTAAGAGAACCAAAGCGTTTAAAAGACAGATGCAAATGTAGCAGAAAAACGGGCATAATCAAGTGTGGCATTATAAAAGATGAAGAAAGAATGAAACTATTCAACCAATTTTGGAAAATATATACATGAGGAGAGAAGAAAATATTTGTTAATGGTACTGTTCAATCAGCTCCAACAAAACGTCATAGGGATCGAAAACTGTCTGATAGTTCTCGACGAGCTCAGTCATTCAAGTATAATTTAAAAACAGCTGATGGTAGTTATGTAAGAGTTTGCAAAACTACGTATTTAAATACTTTGGGCATTGTAAGAATGACTGTTATTGCTTGGAAAGATAGAATTAAAGATAATACTTGCATTCCTAGTCAACTTAGAGTTAACAGAGATAGAGTTAACCCTTTTGTAAACAGGCAAAAATCAATGACCGATTATTTCGACTCTCTACCAACAATGGAATCTCATTACTGTCGGGCTTCATCTTCCAAAAAATATCTGCAAACTGATTGGAAAACAAAAATGGATTTATATAAGTTTTACGTATCTGACTGGTGCAAATCGCACCTCACACAACCGCTATCTAAAACTACTTTCTGTGAGTTTATGTCATCGAGAAATCTTTGTCTGTTTAGACCCAAAAAGGACGAATGTGAAATATGTGCAAGATATAAGGCTGGGACAATGGAAGAACATGATTATCAATTACATGTATTGAAAAAAGAAGAAGCTAGGAAAGAAAAACAAACAGATAAAGCGAATAATAGTCTTGTATTCACAGTAGATCTTCAAGCAGTTTTAATGGCACCTAAGTCAAATGTCAGCACATTGTACTACAAAACAAAGCTTCAAGTGCATAATCTGTGCTTTTATAATAATATCAGCAAAGATGGCTATTGTTTTGTATGGAATGAAACGGAAGGGGGGCTTAATGCAGATGAGTTTGCTTCTATTTGGACATATTTTATTGAGAAAAAGATTCTACCTAAAGTGGAAAACAAAACAGATATACGTATTATTATTTATTCGGATGGCTGTGGTTATCAAAATCGCAATGTGACTATGTCAAATGCGCTATTAAATATGGCAGTTAAAAACAAAATAACCATCGAGCAGAAATATTTAGAAGTCGGCCATACACAAATGGAAGTGGATGCTATGCATTCTTTAATAGAACGGAGAATGCGTAATAGAATCATAAATGTTCCTGCGGACTATGTTCAAATTATTGAGTCTGCGCGCAATAATCCATTTGATGTCAAGTATTTGGAACATACTTTTTTCAAAGATTTCCGTAATATTTCGAGCTACAAAAGCATTCGCCCTGGACGATCATCGGGAGACCCTAAAGTCACCGATATTCGCGCACTCATGTATTCTTCATCAGGAGAAATTTCATATAAGTTGCGGTTTGAAGAGCCATGGATGCTGCTGCCCCAAAGAAAAAGCCCTTTTTCAGCAAAAAGTTTTGAGGAAATGCAAAATTTGCACCAAACTAGACTGAAAATTAAAGCTCGAAAATATGATGACCTTCAACAAATTAAAGAAGTCCTGCCAGCAGATTTCAGAGAATTTTACAACAATTTACCGCATGATTAAAAATCCATATTGTTTGTGTTAATAATGTTCAATTTATTTTTGTGAGTTTGTTTCGGTATTAAAAACTATATTACATATACTTGCAGTGGCGATATAAGAATATCCACATCTCCATATCGTCTCGCCGAGTGTCGTAAGAGGCGACATAGAGCATCTGAAACAGGAGATGAGCAGCAGCATGAACTCAAAATTTTACAAAACTGCGAGTGCCAAACCACAGCTAAATCTCCCCATATGGCAATCTGTGGTAGTGTTGCAACAGACCTATGCTTCCGCATCCGCAACTGCAGAAGTTCCGCACGCTTTTTAACATCCGTTTCTGCCTCCGTTTCCGTTTCTGTTTCCGTTATGACATTTCCGTTGCATCAGTAATCTGTGGTCAACTCACTGCTCTGTCGAGCAGTAAACTTTTATTGGTGGTAATGGACGAATGGATCATTGCTCGTATACGTCAAGATGAGCGAGTGAGGCAGTAGACGTACGATGACTGTGAAGATGTAGGACGAAGAGCTGTGAAGTAGTGTAACATTTTTTAGCATAAATCAAGTTATTTTTTGATCTTCTTTATAGGGTAAGCGAGCACACAGTCCAACTGATATAGGTAAGTAACATAGACATTTACATTCCTCTTCATTTGCGAACCAAAATGCAGATGCGTTATCAGCCGTGATGACTAAGATGGAATGCCTCTTTTCCAGTAAAATGGGTCTGTGGTTCTCTACAATCACGATACGAAACACAGCGGCATTAAGCTGCTACTGAACGCGTGTATTCTGTGAGAGCGCGGGCCTTCCCCGGTCGAGCCGACCCATTCGTGCTACAACTATACAATTAATATAGCAGCAACATGGCTCTACCACCACTAAATCTTGAAGAAGCGATGCTAATTTATTATTTTGAAGGGCTATCCATTTCCATACGTATCTTGAATTGTTTTTCTTTTCTGATTTTTAGAAAAGCGATTTCATTACCAATTATCTTGCACTACTGACACTGTTTCCTGTCACATCTAGTCTTTTCGTGAAAGTGAATCACCGCAATGAGTTCTTTTAGGTCTTTTCTCTTCAGCAAAATAAAGTATTAGACATCTACCTTTATCCTCAATTAAGAAGTAAAATGCGTTGTCACCCTTGAGGACTAGAATGGAATGCCGCGTTTCAGTAGAAAGGTTTTCGGTTATCTACACTCACCATACCCAGCACAGCAGTATTAAGCATAAGGAATGAAAGGTATTACCGGCAAACCTCCCGATACTATCCACACCATCTGGATGCTTGACGGCCCACCAATGTACGTTTCACTAGGATTTTCTTCCGCATACGAATAATTTACAAGAAAAGAGCTTACTCCTTTCTAAACGGCCTGGTCCTGGTGTTGCGGTTGTTCATGGGCTGCGGTAGTCACTTAACATCAGGTGAGCCGTATGCTCGTTTGCCTCTTCTTTTATGAAAAAACTTATTTATATAAAAAAAACAAAGCTTCAATGCAACATACCACAATGAGTGACTTCGTGATCCTCCCCATAATCATTCCAATAATGGTTGCAACTAGAAAGTACACGTCCAGATTATGTAGTTGCCGGCCGAAGGAATATTGCGGCAAATAACTCCATATTATGTAAGTATTGTGTATTTTTAAACTTACGGTACGACTACTCCACAAACTCAAAGTAACCCAGCGGGCGATGGAAAGAGCTATGCTCGGAGTTTCTCTGGTGGATAAGATTCGTAACGAAGAAATCCGCCGTAGAACCAAGGTCACCGACGTAGCCCTCTATATTTGCAGGCTGAAGTGGCAATGGGCTGGTCACATTTGTCGCAGAAGCGATAACCGTTGCAGTGTAAGTGTAATAGAGCGACGAGCTGCGCAAGGCGGCTGGCAGTTACTGGAGGCGTGAAGCGAAGATCGGGCTAAGTGGCGCGCCTTGGGAGAAGCCTATGTCCAGCAGTGGACTGCCGCAAGCTGATGATGATGATGATGATGATGATGATTGAGTAGTCGATACCTCTTAAACTTAAATGACGCAAACAAATACATAATAGGCAAACAAGTCAATTTTTACACAAATACTGAATTATTTATTATCATTTAAAGATGATGTCTGTGGAAAGCGTTCTAAGTCCAAACTTTTAAGGGCTAACTTATTGAGTGCTTTCCTAATGCTTTCGGACAAACAATTTCAAAGTAGAGTAGCCGGAGTAGTAAAGAAGTTGCCGACAATCTCGGTGAAGTGAGTTTTTATTACATGTTTGTGCAACTTCCTTAAATTCCAGCAAAATATTAGTCAAAGTCAAACATTAGGCGTCGCTAAAGTCGTAAGTACTTTTATACTTTTGATATAATTATATATAAGCAACGGATTTAATTTGAAACCTGTGAATTTTAGAACGTGGCTTCTAAAATTTAGAATGGTAGATAGACCTATGAGTCTAGAAACCGATAGGTCTAGGTAGTCAGATTTACTCGTGAATGTTATGGGCGATAACGCATTTGCATTGAAACTATCAATTGAATAGATGCAGATGTGTGTCTGTCACACTAACCACCTGCTATTGTGTGCTCGATTCTCACTTTGATGTAATTCCTGATGAAAAAGTAATTTTAAACACATTTCGTGTTGGAGGTAGAACTCTTTCTGACTTTTAGTCCTTCTGAGTATATCCCTCTTGTCTATTTCAAAAGCAAAATAGCAGTGTTTGCACTGCTGATGGGTATAGAGTAGGGATGCCACCCGTATTATATTATATAGTGTCGTACTACATTCCAGTCGATATTACTATTTACTATATATAATAGAAAAATAACAAAGTACGAAAAAAACTACATTTTTATACCTAATTCAACTGTCGCTTTGTTTTATTGACTGTGATTGGAAGTCTGGAACCAGTATGTTTTACGGAAAGAATTTTTTCCATCATGAATGTAAAATTGAAAGAAACAAGAACAGGGCATGCATAAATTTAATTAAAAATTATTTTTTAATTTATTTTAATATGAATCTAAATTGCTAAGACTTCCTATAGTTATTTTAAAAGTAAGGTAAGAAGGTAAGGTGGTTAGATCATTCATTACCAATGCAAGGAGCAATAACAAATATATATGGGAAAATACATTCATATTTGTATTAAGTACATATAGATATGATTTTTTTTCTCCTGAATTTCTCAAAGGTGTTATACTTTTGCATCCTTTTTGGGAAAAATGCTATATTTTTTCAAAAAGAAGGTGGCAACCCCTGTATAGAGAGACGGTATAGTAATAACTACAGGCTATGCGGCATTCCAAATTAGTCCTCAGGTGACGACGCATCGGTGACCACGGACTCCAGTAGTCAGGTCTCACTTACCATCAGGTGAACGTTTAGTGGTTCGTTTTTCACTTCCGTTTCATTAAAAAAAACACATTTAGATATTCACAAATAAAAAGCAAAAATATCGAGTTTCTCTATTGTTTACCATTTATTTTCACTGTGCTATATTTAAACGGCGTGTTAAATTACACAAAGTTTTCACGGCATTGCCACCGCTGTTTAAGAAAATGTAACTATAAAGCTTTTGAATCGTGGAGCGAACAAACAACCCGGCGCGGCGCGTGACCGAGCCGTTGAGTTGCGTCAATACAGCTTATCAAGCCATTATTGAAATTGATTCAAAGTCGGCGAGTCCTGCTGGAAATATATAAAAAAAACCGGCCAAGTGCGAGTCGGACTCGCGCATGAAGGGTTCCGCATCATTGTACAAGATTTAATACTATGTAGGTAGAATATAGCAGTACATACTCTGAGAGCATTTCAAGCGTCTACTTGTTGCCATTATTAAAATCGAGCAAAAAAAGCCAAAAGAAAACGTTTCCAGCAGAGGAGCCCCCTTAAATTTTTAATTAATTTTTATTATTTGTTCTTATAGCGACAATAGAAATACACATTCTGTGAAGTTTTTATCTATTTACCTATTACGGATCATGAGATACAGCCCGCTGACAGACGGTCGGACGGACAGCGGAGGCTTAGTAATAGGATATTTTTTTGGGTCCCATTTCACCTTACGGGTACGGAACCCTAAGAAATAAAGTTCAATATTTCTGTTTTTTTTTTCTTCTCAAATACGGAGATAATATTTAACAGGCGACAAACAGGCGATCCGAGCGAACAGGCGATAAACTGTAGTTGTCACTGGATTTTTTTTTCAATTTCTTCTTCTCTGAAAGAATACAACCAAAGGCGAACTTAAGCTTGCTTGAGTTCTTACTTGCTAGACTTTGTCGCGTAAGTACCTATTTATTGACTGTTTAGTTTCAGTTCCATAAAACTAAAATAAAGCGAGCAGTTTGAAGTTTTCAGCTAAAGAGACTGGCTCTTGTAGACTGGGATCTTATGGCCGGTTTAGCAGAGGTGCGCTAATAGTGAAGTTTAAGGTGTGCCGGCTTTATCTAGCCATTTCTGTGTAAATTTATCAAACCTAATATTATATAATAATAACTTTATGGAATGGACTTACCCCAATTACTATCTTTACTTGCGTAAAACATAAAATTAGATAAGAGGAAATTAAGACATGTGTACGTGGTAGAGTCAAACTGCACTTAGGTATATTAATGTTGCAGCACGAATGGGTCGCCTCGACCGGGGAAAAACGACGCCTTATAGAATACCAGCGTAAAATAGCAGCTCAATGCTTCTATATTTCGTATGGTGAGTGTACAGTACCGGAGACCATTTTTATTTGAAACGCATCTGCATTTTGATTCGAGGATGGTCGCTTGTCACCCTTAATCAATAAAAATTGTGGGTGGTAATTTAACTGTCTATAGAAATTGCTGTAATAATAGGTCCGATGTTTGAAAGTACGAATTTCTTTTTAATCTAATTAAAAACATCTCATCACTGAACTTTTATGAAATATGAGAATGAATCTGATCACTGCAACGGCGAGAAATTCCGTCTCTTTTTAAAAGTGAGCGGGATTTGAATTAAAGTCTGAAATAAGGCTTATTACGTTTCT